AAGTGCTTCTGAGATGCTTTTGGAAGTGCAGCTTTTATCTGTCATTTATTTTGGTAATGTCTTACAAGGAAGTCTTAGTTTTAATTGTACTCATTTAAGGAGGTTCCTGGAGTTTTCATAATTTGCATTTTGTCACTGGGAAAATCCATTATTTGTATTTAAAATGTATCAAGCAAAATGAATACTATTAGATATAATTGTTAAACTTTTAGAAATTAACATGCCACTTGGTAGAACTATAATTGGTGAGTAGCAGCTAAGGTCTATATTTAAACAGTAGGGTTAATGAATATCTTTTATTTTTTTCTTTTTCTCTCTCTTCTGTTGGCTTTTCAAGTTGCACTTAGCTCAGGCTCTTTGAAATGATTTTATTTTTAAAGCATTGTGACATTGTTTTAGTTGAATGAAGCTGCAGAACTGGCATGATAAATCAACACAGAACAAGTTTTAATGCAAGGCATAGCACATTAACCTGGAAATTGGTTGCAATAGAAAAAGCAACTACTATGATTAATTTTTTTTTTATTCTCTGCTTACAGCATTTTAAGAAGGATGACCTTGACAATTGCAATTGCATTAGAATCCTTATGGTGTGCACTTTAGAGTACTTGAACTCTTTGGTTCATGGGTACAATAGTAATTGCTTTTTAAGGTTAAGAAAATTTTATCTCTCACAGATTAAATATTTCTGTTTTATCTGCTTTATAAACAATTTAAAAGTAAGTAATAGTTGTAAGAATTAGCTTCTTTTTACATGATAGTCTCATGACTGTAGTTGCTGCAAAAAATATTTAATATGTCAGAATGATAGGTTGTGTCCTCTCAGTGGACACATGGTAGGGTAGACCAACTGATTTGATATATGATGCAGGTCAAACCTACTTAATTATTAGTTAACTTGCTAAAATGTATCCATGGGGGGTGGGAAGATGGCTCAGTAGGTGAAATGTTTGCTGTGCAAGTGTAAGGACCTAAGTTTAAAACCCCAGAACCATGTAGAGTTGTGCCAAGAATTCATCTTTAATTGCAATACTTCTTCAGGAGGTAGGCTGCAGAGGACTGAATCTTTTGACAGTCACAGGCCAACTCTCCTGATATACATAGTGACAAACAGCAAAGAGATAAGTAGTCTCAAGGTGGAAGGCATCTGGCTCTCAGAGTTGACCTGGCCTTCATATTTGACACCTTTATGCACACACATGATATACTTGTATACCCACCCCTGCCTGCACTCCTGAACATGCAAGGGTGCGAACACACAGTTTTTATTTTTATTGACTATATAATATGTTGAAAAGCAGGTCTGAACAAACATTAAAGGTTGATAGTTTTATGTAATGTGTGTGTAATATAAAATTATCTATCTATATATCTATATCTATATATGTATGTATGTATGTATGTATGTATGTATGTATGTATTTAAAGCATAGGAAGCTAGAAATCAAACAAGAGATAATGGGGAAATTCTTATGTCTTTGAAAAATCATATACTTTGTAGTATGTGGGAAGCATGCAATAAGGAAGTATCTATTTCAGTTTTGGAAAACCAGCAGATTAAACCGTACAGAAAGAAAGGGAAGAAAAAGCTAAGACTAGATATCATTTAAAGGAAGAATGTATGAAATGAAAATGAATAAAAGTATCAGTTAATAAGCAAAACCAAAAATGGCAGTTTGAGTGAATCATTTACTGAACTTCTACCTCTGTGACTGTGTTCATTAGAGCAATGTGTCTGCAGTCAGCTTTTGACCCATTAGGCGGTTCTTTCTAATATATTGTACTCTCAAAACAAGTCAGTGTTATTCTAAAGTCTTGAGGTCAAAAAAGGTACACATTTACATTGCAAATTAAAAGAATATAATTAGGCTTGGAGAGGTGTAGCCTTTCTAATTTTTTTTTTTTAAATGGCTCTACTCCAGTGAGCAAAATTAGCAATTGATGTCTTGGAAGACAAGGTAGACTAATATAACCAGAACTGAGAAATCCTCATCATAGGGCTGGGGAGATGGCTTAGTGGGTAGATAAGAGTACTTGCTGTTCTTCCAGAGAGCATGGGTTTGAGACATAGCATCCACAGAGTGGTTCACAACCATCTGTAACTACAATTCCAGGGGATCCCAACAGACCTGAACATGGTGCACAGATGTAAATGCAGGCAAATATTCATACATAAAAAACAAACACTGAGTATTAACAAATAGTTAAAAACAAATTTTAGTCTATAAATTTGAATATTTAGGGAATATGAGCACATTTGTAAGAAAGACAACCACAGTACATCAAAGTGGATACTAAGGTATATCAGAATGAATGAAACAGTCCATCACCAGTAAGTTGTAATTAGTATTTAAGAAAAGATAGTATTAGTTTCATTATAAGCTCATCCAGAGTTGGAAACATTCCTACATGTTTGGAGGCCTGAATAACCTTAATGTCTAAAGTTGAGGTCCTTATTATGAGAGAAGAAAATTACAGGTAAAGTACCATTCTTGACTATATATTTTTTAAAATTTTATTTATTTCTGTTTATATGTTATGTTTTTTGTTTTTTGTTTTTTGTTTTTTTTCCCTTGTATGTGTATCTGTGTGCCATGTGCGTGCCTGGTTTCTGGGGAGACCAGAAGAGGGCTTTGCATCTCTGGGACTGGAATTATAGATGACTGTGACCTACCATGTGAGTGCTGGGAATTGAACCCAAGTTTTATGGATCAGCAGCCAATGCTAACTTTGAGCCAGTGCTCCAGCCTTGTGAATGTATTTGTTTTTTTAAATGAGCCAACAAAATGTTGGGAAACTGAATCTAGTAGGAAATTAAAAGAAATGTAAGTGCATAATGTCCAAGTTGAGTCTATTTTATGAGTATAACATTGGTTTAACATTAAAAAGATGAATTGTCATCCTCTGATCTGAAGAAGTATTTAATATGTTTAGGTTACCTAGAACTTAGCAGCCTTGTTCTCAAGACTAGTAGCAAGTGAGAATGATACACATTTGCTTGTGAACTCAAGGTGTGCTGTATAAGTAGTAAAGAAAAATATATAGTTGGAAAAGAAAAACATGACTTAACGGTTTGCAAGTGACAATGACAGTTTACTTATAGGACTCCCCCCTGAAAATTTATGAAAACCAGAAGTCAAGAAACAATGTTTCTGGGTAAATGATAAAGAAAATAATTATTTATTCTCACCTTAGAAACAAAGTGGATTTCAAAATATATGCAGGGTTATTGGAAAACTAAGTTTTTAGAACTAGCTTAAAAATAATAAAGGCACCAGGTGTTGGTGGTGCATGCCTTAATCCCAGTACTTGGGAAGCAGAGGCAGGAGGATCTTAGTGAGTTCGAGGCCACCCTGGTCTACAGATCTAGTTCCAGAAAAACCAGCCAGAATCACACAGAGAAACCATATCTCTCTCTCTGTGTGTTTACATTTTTTTTGGTGGGTAAATTTTTTTTTTTAATTTTAGAAACAGTCTTATTTTACATATCAATCCCCCATTCCCCCACCCTCCCCATCCTCCCATATCCCCCACTGACCCCCCTACTTCACCCCCCACCCACTCCCGAAGGTGGGGGAGGGCCTCTAGGCCCTCTTGGCCCTCTTTCGTGTATCTGGGCTACAATCTTCCACAGGGAATGAGCTCCCAAAGTCCATTTGTGCTCTAGGGATAAAAACTGGCTCCACTGTTAGAGGTTCCATAGACGGCCCAGGCCCTCTAAGTTGGCACTCACATTCAGAGGGTCCAGTGCTGGTTCCCCAGATTTACGACTAGGGTCTCTGCTCTAACTAGGTCAGATCAACTGTTTCTGTGAGTTTCTCCAGCCCAATCTTGACTCCTTTGCTCATCTCTCCTCCCTCTCAGTGACTGGATTCTGAGAGAGATAAAAGAAAGCACAACTAAATGAAGAAATTAGTTCATTGACCCCAGTGCATACTCTAATGAGAATCTAAAAGTTAGTGAGATATATTCAATAATGGAAATGGCCTGAAATAGCTAAGATATTCTTGAATGCAGTTACACCAGTTACTGCAGTATATGATGTAGTAAGAGTGCATTGAATAATGGGATAGAAAGCCTCTAGATCTGACATGTGTACTGTGTTTAGCTTAATGACTATGTATGTCTGAGAAGTACATGGTTTGACAGTTTTATTGTAGTGGTACAGGTTGATCACCCATCAAATGTGGTAAATTTAAGATATGTGAGGTTGATGTGTAGTGTAGTGTTACCTGATGTTTACAGCAAGCTAGTTGCTACCTGTTGGATAGAGGTATGCCTTTCTTAGTGACCTTTAAATTTTGTAAATACGAATAATAGAAGTTTCTGTTGAGGGATGCTAAAGTTTTCTTTATACAATTACTTTTGTCAGTATGATGTTGTGTTTTTCATAGAAAATTTAGAGTCCACGCCTAAACTTTTAGAAGTATAAGTTAAAAGTGGAAATGAATGGAAGAAAGTCAAATAAGGATCCATAATAAAATTGTTTAAAGAAATATAATTTTAAAAAGTGTACTCAAAAGAGTTGTATACTTAGCACAGTATAGAATTGTAGTTTGAACATTAATGTTCTAGCAGCAGTGTGGAATTGTCACACACTTGTCTCTGGAGATAGAATTTTTTTTGTTACGAAAGTAAAGACAGGACTCTAACCAAGTATTCTTGTTAAAGGACAGGATTTATTTTATAGAGGGGATCATAGTTTGTATGTTATCTAGTGTTTTGTTAACTTTTTACTGTGCACTCTGACTTAGATTATGTGTTGATGGATAACTCAGTAAATTACCTTTGTTTAGCTGGTTATAGTTTGCATTAATACATGATAATTCCTCGCAAAGCAGTGACTTGCATCTCATTTGGCAAGAAATTAATGAGTTCTAGGTTTCACTTCTCCTTGGCTCATGTTCATGGGAAATGTAGTAATCAAATGCATATGTAAGCTTTCAAATAACTGTCACAGCTTTCAGCAAGAGAGTAATGTACACTATCTTTTCCCACAGTTTAATTTTGTTGGGAGAATCCTTGGACCTAGAGGACTTACAGCCAAACAACTTGAAGCAGAAACAGGATGTAAAATAATGGTCCGAGGCAAAGGCTCAATGAGGGATAAAAAGAAGGTAAGTCCTTGATAAAGGGTGTGTTTTCCAGCATTTTTACTTCTTAATAATCAAGTTTCACGTCTCATAGACATTGACTATGATCCTCCCAGTGAGAACTTTGGAATTGTTTTAAGACATTACACTGATCTCTTTGTTACCATTTTAATTCAAGAACTGAAGTATGTAAGTATCCGTTACTCTAGCATGATAGCCTGCTTTGCTACTTATAATTTAGAAACTGCCAATAAGAATTTGACTTTTTGTTTTTTTTTTTTTAAAATACGCAACTAAAATCTTGAAAAACAAAACAAAACTGAAGTGACATTTTGTTTTGTGATGAAGCCCAAGGCCTTGATTTGTGCCACAGAGTTATATCAACGGGTCTTTAAGTTTTAGATGGCATTTCACATAAGTTGCCAGGGCTAGTTTCAAACTTGTCTTACCTCACTTGTTTGGATAGATGGGGTTGCAGGCTTAACACCCCAATCAGCTTCTAAAGTGTTTGTTTTGATAGACCCCAAATTAAACTGGCCAGATGAGTATCTGCTTTCTATTTTTAACCCCTATCCCTAGTACTACTTCTGTTACTTTGTGTGTGATCCAGAGAGGGAGGAAGGGAGGGGAAGGAGAGAGAACTCCCTGAGAGATTGTTTTGTCAGTTGGATTATTTGATGCTGAACTATTTGCTTTAAATATTGTTGTTAGGGAGATTTTATTTGCCTAGTTCCTTTTATCCAGAATATTATGAAGTAGAATGTTAAAATTGCTCTCTGAACTAAAGCAAAACAAAACAAAAACAAATGTAATTTTAAACAATTGCTCTTGGCTAAAACTGCTATTCTTAAGGGTGATTTTTTTTTTTTTAAATATACTATATTTTTTTGAAAGAGCTATCAGATGGTAAGTCTGGGGTCAGTTTATGTTGGAACACTTAGTGGAGTGTAGTTCTTTGTTCTGATGGCTGTCACCTAAGCCGCCCACAAACTGACTGCACCTTAGCTCCTTTGTTCACTACAAAGGAATGGGTAGCTAGAAGGTTTGAAGGAAAGTCTGGTTATATCCTTAATAATGTCTTTATTATATAGTTGAATTTAATGATATCTTTATGGGAGTTATGATACTTCTCCCCCTAGAACATTTTTAGATGTTGTATTTTAAAATAAAAATTTTAAACATTCAGAATTAGGTGTGTTCAATCCTCTGAAATTTTGGCTCCCTTGTGTGCATTGCCTTAGGGTGGCATTGGCCTTAAACAGTGCTAATGTAGTTGCCTAAGCACATTTAGTGAAGTTTTGACAACTTAAAAGATAATGGTGTATATATATCTACTAGTTAAATAATTTTTTGGGCGGCTGGAGAGATAGCTCAGTGGTTAAGAGCTCTGTCTGCTTTTCCAGGACACCTGGGTTCATTTCCTAGTACCCACATGGCAGCTCACAATTGTCTGTAACTTCAGGGTCCAACAACCTCACACAGACATACATGCAGGCAAAGCACCAATGCACATAAAATAAAAATAATTAAAAAGTATTATTTCATAAATACTGTTCCTCTTTTCTAAGTTGCAGCTAATTTGGATTGGCCCCATTAAGTTAAACTCTGGCCATACAATACTCACAGATGAGAATTAGAGATTATTTTTAGACTTGAGTAAAGAATATTTTCTATTGTCTTTGGTAGAATAGAATGATTCAGAGTGAGCATTAATTAGAATGTGTAGGTTTGAATCTTGGTTCTGCCTTGTATTTGAGGGTTGAATGAGTTATAGATGTAAAACTCTTAGAACAAGAAGATGGGTTTTAATAAGTATTCAAATAAATGATATTTTGTGTTAAACTACAGCATGGTAGAGATGCATATATATATATATATATATATATATATATATATAATAGCTAAAATTATTTTACTTTTGTAGAACAGGCTGGTCTCGAACTCACAGAGATCCACCTGCCTCTGCCTCCCGAGTGCTGGGATTAAAGGTGTGTGCCACCAACGCCCGGCAATTATTTTACTTTTGTTAACAATAGTATTTGCTGTTGTTTGGTCTGGTCACTTTTGAGTGTCCCATATCATTGTAGGGTTTTTCCAGTGTTGGGAGTTTCTAATTTTTAACCTTACTGGTAGAAACAGTTCCCACATTTTATTTTCTTTTATTGTTTTTTTTTTAGATATGAAAGCTTTAAGATTATACATGTTCTATATGTATACATGTTACATATAAAGTATGTCTTATATATAAGGAATAAACATATGTATATATTATACACGTGTAGAAAACAATAGTAAAATAAATGAAAACACCTGAAAATGAGTTTAGCTGCAAAATACATTTTCAGTGTTCCTAAAAATGCTATAGATGAACCTTCTAACTTGAATGACTTCTGTGTTACTGATACTTTCTTATGTGAATTTTGTGTGTATAATATTTTTGTCATCAAAATGTTTTCATAATTTTGTGGCATATTTAACTGTCATTGTTTAAACGTGATAATTCATATATACTTTTTTTGTGTGTGTATGGTGTTTATGTGTGTATGCATGCATGTGCTCATATATGTGGGTACATGTATATGTCTACTTGTATGTAGAGGCCAAAGCTTGATGTCTCAGTTTTTCTTTAATTGCTCTCTATCTTATGTATTGAGTCAGGGTCTCTCACTTGAACTCTCCACCTTATATATTGATTGATTCAGGGTCTTCCACTTGAATGTAGAACACTGATTCAAGTTGTCTTCATTTCCTGTGTCCTGCTTATGGGTGGGTCTTAAAACTCACATGACTTCTACATGGGTCCTGGAGATCCAAACTGTTCCTCACTCATAGACAGCAATTGCTTTACCCATGAGCCATCTCCCCTACCCATGATGTGCTTTTAAAAGTGTTGATAGTAAAAGTGAAAAAAAAAAGGAAGGTGTATTCACTTGGTACATGTCTGTTTGTTAAAAAAACACAGTAAGGGTAAGTATTGACATAAATAAGTTAATATAACAAAGCTGGTAAGTATGTTTCAATCGTTAAAATTTATTTGGCCTTAATCCTTTTATCTGTATGTGCTAAAATACTAAGAAAGCTAGGAAAACAATCTTGACTTCCTTACTGCTTTATTGACATTGGACAAAAAACATGATAAAAATGACGCTTGTTGATGGAATCCTTCACTACACACCACACATACTGTCGTTTATGGAATTTCCTTGCTGTGTGGTGAGTACTTGTCATTGAGTAAGCATTAGAAAAGATAATTATGAACAACTGGCTTGTAATTCAGATAATGAAAGAATGGTGTAGAAGCACCTCTCCTTTGCTTTCTGCTGAAAGGTCTGGCAACCAGTGATGACCGTTGGCTCTCTCTGCTTTTAATTCTTTCTGGAAGATAGGCAGTAGCATACAATTCTATAATACTGGTTTTAAGCATGTGAGTTAATATGTCAATTTAATTTTCATTTTCTTGGATTGATAATTCATTATTATTGGTCGGCTTACCAGCACTGTGCTTTGTTTATTTTGTTGTTTTAAAATGTAAGTAGCCATTAGGATGAGGGCAGGTAACAAAACCTGAGGGCAGGAGCTAATAGAATTTAGAATTCTATTAGGAATGTCTTGTCTGTATCAGGAAGCATATGGCAGTGTCCCTGTACCCTCTATCTATGTGGTTGAATGTGCTTATGGTAACAGCATTGTTAGAAAATATGTTGTAACTGAAACTACTTTGTTTTAATGTCTTCTGATTTAATTTTTTGGTGGTGGTGGTGGTGGTGGTGGTGGTGGTGGTGGTGGTGGTGGTGTGTGTGTGTGTGTGTGTGTGTGTGTGTGTGTGTGTGTGTGTTTTAATGGCTCTATTCTCAATATTTGACACATTTGTTTGAAACAATCTGGGTTTTATTATTTACAGTATGTAGGTGAGGAAACTTCTGTCAGGGAGGTTGAATGATTTGCCAGAGTTGACACGCAAAAAAAGTAGTAGTCAGACTGTGTTGTTTGATATGCCACCTTTAACTGTAAGCTGTTTGCAACAGCTGCAGAAATACTGCAACATTTGAATTTAAGAAGCCAATGTAAACCTATTTTATTAAATTATTTCATGCTTCCTTAGTTTTCCATGGGTTTAAATATGTTTAAATTTTGTTTGACTTCTTAAGGCTGAGAAGAAAACAAGTTATTTTTTATACTTAGAGACCCTCGAGTACCCGTGATATTAGATGTCTTGGGACTTCTTACTCTACAGTAATCAGCAGTAAGGTCTCTTAGGAGCATTTACTCTTACCATATAATTTGCTTCAATTTGAACACTATCTGGAGATTATGTCAGATCACAGAAATTATAAGAAGTGAACTCTACTGCAGAAGCCAAGCACAACCCCAACTGTGGTCTCTGTTCAGCCCTAGGGCCATTTTCTAATACCTCTCTCAAGTTTGATTAATTTGCTAGAGTAGTCTACCTAGAATAACATTTAAGCTTGCCACTTTGCTATTAGAGGATACTTAGGGGTACAGATGAACAGCCCTATGTAATGGATGCCCAGAGGAAGTCATGGGGGAAGGTAGAGTTTCCGTGGCATCTTCTGGGAGGGACATCTTTCATACTTTTCTGGTTGTTGAGCTGCATAGGAATTCTAATTTTTATGAGGCTTCTTTGGGGAATGGTAATGGGTGAAATCATTGGCCACTGGTGGTAAAGCCATCCTTTATTCCCTTTCCTTTTCTTTTTTGGGGAACTAGAAACTGTCAGCCTTGTCAGTTAAAATGATAATGGTTTCCCTGGCAACCCACTCGCATGCTAGGACTGTCCCATAACCTTTAGTCATCTATGACCCCATTAGCATACAGAGCCTAAATGAGAGCTCTGTTGCCAAGAAATGAAGAACAGATATACTCATGAATCACAGTATCATACAGATATTTTCTCATCAGAAATGTTCTAATGGTGGGTTTAAAAATTGAAATATTCAAATATGTGGTAGGGATAGGACCCAAATCTAAACATGAAATTCACCTGTATTTTGTATACCTTTCTC